CGTTGGAATCCATCGCCGAGGCGGCGATAACGACTGTGCAAGAAGCACGCGATGCTTATCGCGCGAGCTAATGATCCGGCTAATAGATATATAGCGTTGCAGTTCGTTAGCGCGATGATGAGCAACTCTTCCGGCGCGGATGATGTTCTCACAAGGCGCCGAACGAGCAGACAAGCACGAGCGATGTGGAGGAGGCAGATCAATCGCTTATCGATTGCATCAATAAGTGCCGTCGTTGAAAGGCGACCGCTCGAAAGTCACGCGACGACCGGATGAACGTAGGGGGCCTTTGGCGTTCGATCGAGATTTACTTTTGTCGGCGCGCCATTGTGTGTCGTCGGGGCTCGCCGATCCCTATTATCCCGAAATTCGCAACGAGTCAATCGGCGAAAGGCGCGCGTCGGCTCGAAGCCTCCGCGATATGGCTGCGCGTGCAAAGAGGAAAAGTGCACAAAACGAGTGAGCCCGGCCGCGCATACACTGCGCCGGAGATCCCATCAAGCCGCTTTATAACATTACACGCTATTTTTATACGGATTCGCTTCGCCTATATTCGTATGCACTAAGCCTGCATCGGCCATACTCTTTCGATAACGTCGCAGCCGCTTTGTCGCGTCCGTCTGTGTGAACTTGACTTCCTCCTACTTTCACGTACCGCTGCTTCATTTTCGCGTTCAATTAAAAATAACACGATCGATGTCATTTCTCTTCCGCGCCCTCGTTTCACTTTGCTTTGTCTGCTTAAGGGCTTTCCGACACACGACGTTCGATCGAAATGCTACGAGACGGATATGATAAAGAAAGCTGTATTTTCTTTTCTTTTTTTTTATTTATTATATACCATAATACATAGGCAGGTGAACCTAGCCGCACAAGAATATGAAGCTCTTTGCAGGTTTGGTATGTGCATGAAAAATATAAGACAATCTCAATAGTTAAAACTTTAATTACGTGGAGCTTATAACTAAAAAATTTACAATACATACATACTTTTGCGTAAATATTATATATATATATATTGTAAAATTCAAAAGAACAGACAGTATTTCTCATGACAGTTTTCAATTTTTTCTTTAATAGTGGTTTGTTAGTTTTTAAAACCTTGAACTCATAATAAGCTAAAAATTTTTATTATAACTATAGACCACTGTTTTGAAATATAGTCTTTTCAACTTTGGCAACTGTATACTTCTGATTCTTGTTCTGCTGTTAGGATTCATATAATTATTTTTAAAATTTTTATATAATTATTTTTTTAAAACGATTCGAAAGTAAATTTGATTCAGGCTTAAAAGATCATTATTGTTTATAAAAGTTTCCTTACTACTGATCTTCATTAACTCGTTCTTCATCGTACTATTTTTTATAGATTTTTGCGTAGGATGAGGAAAAGAAGGTAACCTGTATTTAATGATTAATGTCGTGACTTGTGTCGATGAAAATGGTGAAAGAGTCTTTCTATTAGGAGAGTAAACGTCTATGACAGACTGATTTTGAAGCTTTTTTTAATTGTCACTGTTGCCTGTATTTTTGTGTTTTTCAAACAGTTTTTTTGTTTGATCATCGAATATAAAAAATAAAAATCCAACATTGTTATAATTACAACTCTTAACGTTTAACCTATTTAATTTTTGGAGCAATGAACATTAAATGTTGCGATGCCATATTATCATAGTAAAATGCCAAAGTGAAAAGGAAGCACAATCATACAATGAAATGAATCCGTACAGCCAGAAAATATGATTTTACAACTGAAGCACTGCTTTACCACTTTCAATTTCATAACACTCATTAAAGCAAAAAGCAAAAACGGACTCCTTTGATACAAAAATACCAATGCCCTCATCATTACTAGAACTGCAATCATTCGTTACAGTGTTCGACGAATCACTCTCTCCCTCTCTCTCTCTCTCTCTCTCTCTCTCTCGCAGCTGCACAAAAAAGTGGAAGGAGAGTAAAGGATCTGCTCGGTCGCTGGCGTACAAAATTAGAAAACGCGCGGCGCCTATCTGTTCGTAATGATGGCCTTCTGCGCGGGTAGTGCCGCCGCGGCTCGTACTATATCTCGGAAAGTGGATCACCTTGAGATCTCTCGAGGAAGAAATGGAAAAAAAAAATAAAAAAACTCCCGTTTTCTTGTGCACGCTCCATCGACTAATTGTATACGAAAGAGCTGCCTTCGCTCCTCCTTTTCTTTACTTTCCAGCTAAGAGGAGCGATTTAATCTCGTGAGAGCTGAGCATGTTCACGCAAAGTACAACGAGTTTATAAGAATAATTGTGGAGATGATGATTTCGACCAAGTTGACTTAATTTGCTCTTGGCAGTCAAGTGGACGAGGCTTTCAAGAAGAACGGGTGGGATTGTATGACGAAACGAAATTGTATCAAGTGTCGCAAAGACAATCGACGACTTTTACTTTTTGTCTGCTTGTTTCGACGGCGTCACTTCTCGCCGCCGCTGATCCTTTTGTAACCACAGCGCGATGCTTTGCGCAAGGCCGAAATCGATAGCGCACACCAAAAGTGGATCATTGACAAAGTTCTACGACGCGATTGTATGTTCGTGTGCTACTCTTATCTCTTTTCACTCTTTCAAATTTTTTCTCTGTTTCATTGTAATAAAGAAAAAAAAAATGTGAGCTCGAGAAGTTGTCTGATGTCATTGCTTACGAAATTTTATGTAAGTGCACGCGAATCGATCGTCGTATCCTTTATTCTTCTTTTTTTATTCCAGTCGCGAGCGAAAGGAAAATTATTTCTGGTGTGACGCATATGTACGACGGGTACAATTTATTACGGCATGCTAATTTTTCGATGGCATGTTATAGGCGCGTTGTAACAACAAACATGACATACTTGCATTCAAAATAAACTGCTGAATCGATGTGTAGCATTGTTGTCATTTATTGATGATTGTAAAAATATATGTCGATTTGTTTGAAAAAGTTTTATTGTGAAAGTGGAAACTAGTTTCGCTCTCCCAGTCAGGTCTCTTTATCATTTTGAAATATTGTCAAAATACGTGGTTCAGAAAAATATTATTTGATAATTTATATTTATTACCTGTTTGTTCGTCCCACATCTTTCTACAATCAAGTCACCAAATCTTTGTCGTCTGCACGTCTGACGAAATAAGAAAACAATGTAGTCTATAAGCCCACTCAAACATCAAAATACACAAAACTCCTAAATCTATCAGTCAGCGATGAATCACAAATGACGTGACCTTGAAACCAATTAGCACACCGACGACTCGCTTCGACACAGTTTTGACTTTCTCGGCATCTACTGGCATCTCGTGATTTTCACAAGACGATCCGCGTTGAATTTGCTCATATATTCTCGCACCTTCATCAGACGTCACCGTCGTCATCTCACATTCGGGTTCAACGACCTTATTGCTTTCCACATCTCTTCTGCCGCTGAATCATCGCAAGATTTGCATTGTACGACGCTGAGGAGGGACAGTATCGATCCTTTTTTTCTCTTCGCGGTCGCTCAAACTGCAAGTACGCGCGCGTGCCGATGATTCAATGCGAGATCGATTAGGTTACCGATTGATTTTGCTTCTTTCACGCGTGAGATCGACGATGTCTTTCCTTTTCTTTCGATTGGGTAATGACAGTCTGCTTAACGTCAGCTTTGTGTGATTTTCGTTACGCACGAGGAAGGATAGCGAAACGCGCAAGGTGTTACAATAATAGATTGAAATACACGACGCCGCGAGGAAGAGACTTCGCTTCAAGCAAAACACATTTTATGAACAGGACAATTCCACATCAGTGTTATTATTTCGCGGAAGTTCCTCGTACTTTTATTTTCAAGAATGTGGATTTATTTTAAGACAAACAATTACGCGCGGCCTTTACTCTCTTCCAGATCAACTTTACGATGCAATGAAGCGCGCGATTAGCTTTGAAACTAAAGGAAGATGCGCGTTTATTTCCTTCGTCGCTTCGCGGTAGCTTTTCTTTTTTTTTTTTTATAATCGTAAATTCGAAGCTAACGTATAGAAAGAAAAAAAATGCAGAAAATAATGGAGGTATCTCGCAAAAATTGAAAACTATCCTGATTTACAGCCCCCACTATCACGGGCGCGCACGCGTGCGATCCACGAGTCGCCATATGAAAAAGGCAGAACAAGAGATGGGAATCAGCGTGCATCGTACGATGAGTCATATGTCGACGATGAAACGCGTTCACTTGACTGTACCGTCCGACTACAATCGAAGAATTCGCACGTGATTCCAGAATACGAAAAATCTACATTCCCGCGACCCTCCTTTTTCAGGTTAACGCGTGCGGTTCATGCGGTGTTTTTTTTTCTTTATTTTTAAGTGAGAGTGCACACGCGAAAGTTTTCTCTCTACTCTATGATACGCGGGGCAGCGCTTTTTGTCTCTACGCTAATCCGCAGTTGGGCGGCCTTTCGCTCACTTCATTACACACTGCGAGTCATGGGCGTGAACGAACGTCGCTTTGGAGCGCGTAGTTATTACGCTTCTGGCACAACTTCTCCTTATGCGCCGTGCGTTGATTGATTTGGGGAACAATGCCTCTTCGTACTCGCACGAGATACGGAAATGGTGTTTCCAGTGCATCGTGCTAACTTTGTTTGTTTTGATATAAAGTTGCTCTATATTACATCTCCCTCTGCCCCCCTCTCTCTCTCTCTCTCTCTCTTTCTCGAGGTGTACGAAAAAAAATGCACTCGCGGTACAATGCTATCCGGCTAAGCATCTAGAAAGGCTTCATACGAGAAATTAGAACGTTCGCGCGCGCGGATATACCTAGCATACGACATTATCATAATGGCAAAAGCCTGTTTGAAACTTTGACGCGATAATCGCTTTCTCTTTGCCTTGTCGATTTGAATTCGTATGAGTAACGGTGGTAGATGCGTATAATCGTCACTCGCGCTCATCTCGATGACGCGACACGAAAGAGCCCCTGAAAAAGTGCAAGTGCATTGAATCGAGCGATGTCGTCGTTGCCGCAGGGTCTGGAGCAGGAGCGTCATCTATTGCGGCGCAAGCTGGAGGAAGCGCGCGGCGAGAGCGAGGCGCGAGCAGTGGAATTGCAGGCCGACGTGGAAGGTCTGCGCAGCCAGCTCCAGGAGCAGAGCGAGCGCGCGCGTCGAGCCGAGCGCGACCAGGCGAGCTTGGTGTCGGACCTGACGGCGCAGAACGCGCGCCTGGCCGACCAGCTGCGCGAGGCTGCCAAGCAGGAGGAGCAGCTGCTGCTCGAGCTCAAGCATCTTCGCGAGAAGTGCGCTCTGAGGAACACCACGCTGCAGGATCACGTCAGCAGCTTGGAAGTCCTCAAGGATGAAGTAAGTCCTGGATCAACTCCCGCTGGCCATGCGAGCGGGCTACCTTCGGAATCGCGAGTCGCGCAGCTGTAAATACTGGAGCGGCTACTCTTTTTTCCTTTGCGTAGCGTCGTAGGGGGCTTTCCTCGTTGTATTCGAGCACAATGCGCAAAATTTACAAGTCTGAGCGCTGCGACGAGAGAATGATTCCGCGTTGCCGCGCGGAAACAAAGAGAAACCATAAATGCGCGCCTGCGGGAGAAAACGAAGGCGCATTCTCGACGTTCCCTCGACTGGCGCGACGCGGGACGATAAGAGTCTCGTCCGGCGGTCGCTCGACCGCGCGAAAACTCACGATGCGTGCTTGCAGGTGCAGCTAGTGTCGGCGCAACGGACGGAGCTGGAGCGTCGCTCGCTGGAGCTACGGGAAGAAAGGGCACGCGCCGTGGCCGCCCTCGAGGAGGCCGAGGAGCGTGCTCAAGCCTTGGAACGACTGGGCCATGAGGCCGAACGACGCGCCATTGTCGCCGAGCGTGAAAGGTATGTCCTTCGAGCCACTTTTCTTTATTTTACAGTGATATCCGCTTTTTTCTTTTCTTTGTCTCGAGGGACCAACGGTATAGCTTGTTTTCGTGACAGATCAATTTATTTTTCGTCGAAAAAAGATGCATCGGTTTCTCGTGGATTAGCTTAATGAAATGTGGTTTCATTGGAACCAGAAGTCAGAAAAAGATGACATTTTCCACGGTAAACCCATGTGTTTAAATTTAAACGTTTAATATTACGTCACCCATAAGAAATACATTGTCCCCAATTTTAAACACTTCTAAACGTCTAAATTCAGCGACAATGTATTTCTTATGGGTGACGTCACAATTGCACACTTAAAACGTTTAAATTTAAACACATAGGATTTTAAGGTTTTGCCGTGTTCGTCGTGTTTCGAGAATTTATTTTGACGAAACGCAATGTCAATTGTTTCGTACATTCGTCTTTCGCCAATTGTCATTCGTTTCTAATGATTTTCGATTAAATTGCTAAAACGTCGTGGTGACGCAATGAGGTCGCTCGCATAGTGTACATATTTTTTAGTCGGCTTCGTCTAATAACAACCTCAATAATCGCCGTGTCGTAGAAAATTAATCAAGCAATAAATATACAGAAGCTCGCGGGCATCCCGCCCATAAAAACACTTCGCGGCTCAACGAGCAGGTCTGCTTCGAAAAGCCACGCGATTCAATTAGTATTAAAGCCGTCGCTTCATTATATTCAGAGTCTCGGTGGCATTAGCCAACAATGACGGTCGGTCGCGCGCACGTTGGCGTCGTACCTGATTGCGAAAGTCCTCTCACGCGGACACACTTGACCTTTGTATTGCCGCTTTCATTGAACGACTTGTCGCTCTTACGCGCGACTCGTGAAAAAAATAACCGCGGATTTGGTGCGCGCGCGCGCGTCAAATTGGCACAATTTCTCACGACTTCGTTCATATATTCATGCGGCGGGGAGTGAACAATTCCAAAACAAATCTATGTAACGCCCTCGCGAGCAATTATTACGCGTTCCTTTATAGACCGATCGATTTGTGTAATAAAGTTGGCGTTTCAATAGCTCGTGCGTGTCTCGTTATGTTCGTGCGAGAAAGCTGTTGTCGATAAACTTTTAATGGGTTTCCACTACTCGCTTATTTTTTTCCAAACCACGATAGGATATTCCGTTATGCAAATTTACAACGCCAGACTTTACTTTGCAAACAACGTTTTCTTTGCGAACGGAGGCGGATTGATCGATCGAACGCCACCGCCAGCGCGCGTGAACATGGGAAACATGATTTGAGATCGTATCTTTATATATATATATTAGTGATGTCAGACGCGCTTCGCGCGCTCTTATATTCCATTTCATTTTTGTCCTATTGATTAACATATTTAACATAAATTACTTTTTCAAAGATAAATGTTTCAATTATTTTACAAAACACATAATCACAACGGATAAACGTGTATTAGTATAACAGTTCTGCGTATTTCAAATTCATAATTTATCGCATCGAAAACTACTACAATAATCTTTCAGTTCTTTACAACCATATGGGTGAAAATTAAACTTTTATCCTACTCTTTGAATAAAGATTGCGACATCACAACATTTATTTCAATCTTACGCATTCGAATATCAGATTATCGATTAGTAATATAAAGCAACTAGAACAATTCCAAAGCATAAGTTTTTGTTTTTACGAAACGATTTACTCGCTGCTTGCTTAATAAAATGAATGTTAAAATAATAAATCTACAATATATAAAAAATTTTGGACTTTTGTTTTATTTAAATTGATCCATATCGATTATGATACATTAAACTTTTAATACTCTAAACCATACATACACGCTTATTTGCCTCCATATAAAAGTATATCATGTGACCATATCTCAGCCAATCAGATCATGAATAAAATGTTTCAACATGGCATCCATAACTTTTTTATAATAAGTGGAAAAAATACGCATATGAATATGCATTAGCGAGGCGTAGTGCGAGTTGCACGGCGAGCTATAGTTATTTTGTAAACTGTTTTGAATGAATAGTTTTCTGCGGCTGTAACCTAATTAGATATCGATTTGCCTGCATTTAGTACATAGAAAAAGGTATATAGTAACGAGAATCAGAGAATGTCTTGTTTTTGTTGATGCTCGGTTTCTTTTTTTCCAAAGTTGTTTATCGTTCATTTAGAAAATTATTACAAGGAAACAAATGACTTTGAACAATTCTCCAGATTAATAAAATGATAATGTAATGAAAAGGTAGATTGATTTTTATCAAATTCCGAAATTAACGGCATCTGCTTTAAAAATATAAAAACATCTACGCTTGTAAATTTTCTTCTTTCTAAAAAAAGTACAACCCCTCCCATATATATATGTCGCGTGGCAGACGCGTGCTCGAAAAGAAGAATAATTAAAAATCTGGAAGTACATCCGCATCATCTCTGGTTACCCTTACAGGGACGAGCTGGCAGCTGCGTTGGCGGCAATCGAGACAAATAATTCTACAGCGGCATTAGCCGCGCCGAACGGCAGCAGCGGTAGCATGAGACAGCGGCAGCCACGTTCCTTGCAAGCGGAAATGGAGTGTGAGGAGAGCGGTGCCAGTTCCTTGGGTCCGTACGACCAACAGGAGCTTCGGCAGGAAATTGGCCGTGCGTGTCGCAGGCTAAGGGAGTTGTCCAGCCACTTGCGTCGCGGCGAGGACGATTCTGGTTTACAAAGCGATTGCGACGAATCCATGCTTGTGCTCAATAACGGCAACGAGAACGAGGTAAATACAGAGGTAGGATGAAAATCGCATGATTGATGCGCGGTTTACGATGACTAATCAAGTGAAATTCAATGTTTGTAAAATATGAAGCAATCAGTGTATCCACTTAAGTTCTCTGCAGCCTTATTCGAACATGCAAACTCTAATAGATGTCAATTTATATATCTTTTATAAATATAACGCTTAATGATTTCGAAGTAACAGCTGTCCGGCCAAAATCTAGGAGCACTTCTTATTTTCTTTGAAGTTGCAATTGATGTACCGCGCACTCGCTTGGCGCGAGAGTTGATCTCTCGAGTTAAAATTCTTTCAATAGGGAAAGCCTCTCTTTCGCCAAGCGAGTTTTATTTATTTTTGCCATGCTTAATTATGCGCGATAAAAGGAACGCAGGTACGTTCTATTGCAGTGCATTGTGCAAGTTATCATTTCTGCAGGCGGAAAAATCGCTTTTGCTATCACATTTTTCACACGACTCTCCTTTTTTTTTCGTCGCATTGTTTCGAAATAAAAAAGGTAACGTTATTTGATCGTAGCGCGAGAGATAGCAGAAGTCAAATTAATCGCACGACGCCGATGTTGTTGTAAGAGGAAAAGAACTGGACTGTATAAGTCAGATGTGGGTGGCAAGAGAGCCGAGCCGTTTCGCGTCGCGCTCGAGCAATCGCGAGCGGCCGTTACCGAAACCACTCGGAAACGTTTGAAAATGTGGGAACGATATTCGCTCGCTCTCTTTATCACATTGCAATACAACTTGTGTTGCGAGCGAACAGAGCTTATATAATTTAGTAAGAGTTTGCCTTTTCTCGGTTTTCTTTTTCTCTTTTTCTTTTTGACGAACAATGCCTCTCGGGATTTCATTTATTTATTGGCAGGTGTAATGCACTGTGGAAAATGAGCTTGAACGTGGAATCGATTCACTGGATCTAAATGAGATTTCAAGACATTTTTTAAATGGATATCTGCTTTGTAATCGTTTCATTCGTATTGTTTATGGTGAAATTACAATGGTTTATTTATAATTGATAACAATGGCATAGCTTAAAAGTGTTTATACATTAAATAGAATTTTAAGTTATCTGTAGTTTTAATTTGAAAATAGTCAAACTAAAGCCATTTGTTTACCCGACAGAACAATTGCCCAGGCGCACTCACGGACCTCGTGGAAGAAGTCTTTGGTCTAGCTCTGGCAGGAGTTCGTGGTGGTCCTGGTGAATTGGGTTTAGCCGTAGAGTTACATCGGGCAAAAGAAGAGTTGGAACAAATGAAAGACCAGCTACGACAAACGCAAGATGAGCTCAAACGCAAGAGTGAGAATCTCGTGGAGGTTGCGAGTAAACTGAAATTGTGCGAAGCTGAGCTAAATGGTGCCAGGGAGGAAAGAGACAGGGCGAGAGACGACATTGAACACTCGCAACTATCCAAGGACGAGGTGCTCGCTCAGGCTTTGCAGGTGAGATTTGAGACGCTGGTCTCTGGAAAAATACTGCGAAATACTGAACGCACACTTAAATTAATATTACGTTTTTTGTTAAATTAATATTTACACCGAAAAAAGTGTCATATTTTCAATAATTCTAATGTGTTAGCATTTAGAAGACATGTTTCAAATATCTTCATCGAATAACAAAGTTTAGTACAAAATTTAATTCTAACCGGGTTTTTCAGACGAGAGACCAAGCAGTAGCACGGAAAAACAAGGTAGAAGTGGAGCTCGCTCGTACTCGCATCGACATGCTACAAATAAACAGCCAGCTAATGGAGTCAATCCAGCAGAAGATCGAATTGAGCGAACAATTAGAGCAGTGGCAAATGGACATGCAGACGCTCCTCGACGAGCACGTTCGCAGCAAATTAACACCGGTCACGCCGGCATCGCTGGCGAGTGGTGACTCTGCCGAGATGGTAGCACCCGCGCGAAAGAAGCGAGCCAGCAACGGTTCGAAAAAACGCTTTGGGATTTTCTGATATTTGCCTTTCTGAATCAAAGGCGGGACTGTAATGTGCAATTTTATATGTGGTGATTCCCGGACAGCTACTGTGCTTTTCTGAAGTGTACTTAAAAACGCTGTGCTGAATTTTCGTCCTTTTTTTCTTTTTCTTTTTAGAGACTCTGTGAACTTATTTTACATTTTTTCATTCCGTCCATCATGTACAGATGTTTACTTGAAATCGATCGACAGAGACGCAATTAGTGTTACCATCGCACGAATTTTTATCGACTAATTCATGATCATGTTATACGGCGCGTTATACTCAAAAAGACGAAACAACATAATGGCACAATGGTTTTGTTTTTTTCTCAAATGAGTGCCTTGCAGTTTTATCTTTGATCTAAGATATGACTAGTTTATTAAATTATTAAATTTTTAGAAAAATTGTATAGTACTTATACTACACAGCTATTTGTAAGTGTATATTTATTTAAGAGAAGTATAATTTTAAATAATAAAATTTTTATTAAAACTCAGGAGCAAATTTTTTTATGCAAATAACAATTTTTATAAAAATCGTTTCCTACATGAGTATAATCTTTGAAATTGCGATGTTCGTCAAATTATAAAATTTTTCATATTTCTAACATCAATGCATGCTAAAAATATTATTTTCAAAAAATGTTTAAATGAATTTTCATATGTACGTATATTTCCATTTACTAACGGTTTTTTTTAATACTTATAATTTGAAAACAGTTTGAGATATCTGCAGCGACTCTCAAGTTAGAACTAATAATTTAGACTGATATGAATGTGAGTAATTCTATAAATATTAGTATTGATATTAATGCATGAGAATTGTAAAAGAAATTATTGTAACTTGACAGAAAAGTTAAAGGTGACTTGCCTAGCAAGCCTTGGAATAAATTATTATGTTATTATTTGAAGAAAGGTTTCACTTTAATATCATTTTCAATATAGAAAAGTAACTGGGTTTTATTGGAAAAAGATGAAATATTTTTACTGAGATATAGTTTCTTATATTAGTATCGTAGGCTCTTTAGACGATAAACACTTTAGATTGAAAAAAAATTTATTTTTATTAGATCTGTGCAACCTAATTTCTGATCGACCGTACTATGCCTCCATTTATAATAGTGTCATAAAAAAATTCGGAAATGAACAAAACAACTTTACTAGATATTTTCCTTCTTCCTTAAATAACATCTTTTTGAAAATAAGGTAAACTATCATATTTTCAAAATTTTATTATTCATCCCCGCGTAACGATCAATATCACTAAATGTTAGGCAGGAGTCTTTTGGTTTTATGTTCCTTTTTAATTTTTAGATGAATAGTTATGATTCGTTACGTTTATATTTACCTAGTGCACCAGCAGCACTTTCATTATTTTCTTTCCGAGTTACTTTCCTGATCGGCTACGCTTTATATTACGTAATTGCACTTTTTTGCTTTAATCGTTTCACAGAAGCATGGATATAGAATAATTTTCATTTTCATTAGCACAAAAAAATTGAGCTTTTAATAAATCTTATAATAAATCTTATAGTGCACAAATGACATATATAGTGCTTTATTCGTTTTATGAAAAATAAAAAAAGAAAATTCATGTTATATTTAAAAGAGCAAGAAAACATTCGAATATTTGTAGAAATTCGTTTTTGACACTCCGACAGTAGTTTCCTGCACGATCGGCCAAAAACATGTACTCGAAATCGGATAAAGAAATTCTAGGAGAAGTCGATAGTAATCGTTTCAAAAAAAGTATAAAAAACTGCGCGTCGTTAGTAAGGATAGAAAAACCTACAATGTAAATGCGCAGAACTATTTTGAGAACATTATTCGGTACGGAATGGATACCAGAGGCTTTATTATTCTTAAGGGCTTTGACAGAATCAAACACTTCACTCGGTGAAATAGGTGCATGCAAATTCGAAATTTGGTGGTATCAGATTGCGTGTGGTTTCGGTTACGTGTGCTTGGAAATCTTTGGGGTAAGATTCAGCTTCTGAGATATATTTTTCAAAGCTGGAGTCGCGGAAGGATCGGACGGCCTCGTGGACTTTTCTATTTAAGACATTCAATTGGGGCATATGTCTTGGTTTCCACTATGCTACAGATGCTTGTGAGTTTAGTTTTTCTTACGAATAAGGGACAGGACCTCAGGAGTCTTGGATGATTGGTTGGGGGCAGAGATGGTGACTTGTTACATTTTATCCTTAATTTCATGGGTAAGGGTCGAAACGACAGCGTCAATATCAGGAACGGTACAAATTGATAAACAGTTGAAAACGACTTTTTAAGGAAGAATTTCACAGATAACCATAATTGTTGATTTTATGGCGTGGGGGGGGGGGGGGCTAAAGACAATAAATCGAGGAATCTCTAGGAATACGGAGTGATAGTCTGAATTTAGTCGGGTGATGGACCAGGGGTCTTCGAGTGAGACGTTTTTTGAGATGAAGATATCTAACGTGTCGGAGCTCTTTAATGCATCAGCAAGAAAATGAGTAAATTGGGCAGGAGCTTCAATAGTGAAGGTGTGAGACAGAATTAATCAAAGAAGCGATTTGCCTTTAAAGTTATTAAAGCATTAAGTTATTAAGTTATTAAGTCTGACAGCTCCATGAAGTAAACTAGACGTATAAGAGAAACGATCTCAGAGTTTTTAGAGTCCGGGGGGGGGGGGGGTAGCAGGTAATTATGTTTGAGGAAAACTTATTCGCTGCAACGTAGCGTCGACTAATCTGTTTCCGAAGTCAAACGCTTTAAACTTTCGGAGCATCTTCCTTATGATTATGTGTGAACGCGCGCACCTATCTACTGAGCATTTTTTCTGCCAGTAAGAAGTTTTTTGCCGGATAAATACTGCTTACATTGCATTCTGAACCCGTGGAGAATGGCGTACAGTGTTTCTCCGTTGTTAAAAGTCGCGAAAGTTCAAGTGATCGAGGGCGGGGGTGGAGAGATAAGGAGGAGATCTAATCATAGAAAAAAAGAAAATGTATATATATATATATAAACAAGCGGCATTTTAGGGTAAAAGAAACAAATATACAGAAAAAAATGAGAGATTGAATTCAAAATTTTGCAGAGAGAGACTTGCTAATATGTTTTTATACGTATATAACACAATATTATTACATTTACGTTATTAAAAATAATGGAAACTGAAATAAATTTATGTATACTGTATTGCTGGCAAGAATTATTTATTAATTAATTCATGTAGTACCGTAGATTATTTCATCGTGAAACTAACCGTCACCTCGATACTATTGGTCCAATGGTATCGTCAATATTAGTAAAATGGTTAGTACATAGCGATTAAAACGGTTAGATAATAACGCAAAGTTTAGTTCAGATGAAATGATGAGTATACATTTTATAAAATTCCAAACAAGAAATTTGTGGTCCAGAAATTTCGCAATTGGAAATCTGTTTCCTTACAACTCAATGTTATTGCAAAGAACGCTATCAGTTCTTATATATGTCTACGTATTAAACTCTTTCTTAAAGGGTAAATTTATAACATCAAATTTCGTTGCGATAGACCTTAAACAATGACAACATTGATTAAAATAATAAGCTTTCATTTTTATTTTAAACATGTTATTTTACAAAATATCATCATTTTCTTTCTGAACTGGCTCGTAAATCGTAAAGTTCCATAAAAGAAATAATGAAAACATGAATCCTGAAGATTGCCCTTAGTGGTGCACGTAATGATGAAGTGAAATACTGACAATATTACAAATTATCCCGTGCAAACATTTTCTTTAATACAAGATCCATATTTTTTTCTGAATACCATTCACCAAAACATAATTTTCTAAAGACCCGATATTTGAGCAAATCAAAATTAATATCAATCAAAAGTATTAAGTAATGTAAAAATCATAACTTTTCTCTACATTAAATGTTTGAAAAAATATATAAAACAGAAATTGATTTCATTGTTTTTGGATGAAAGACTTTACGTTAATTTTATAGCATAAAAGCACTCTTTACGAGTTGAAGTGTACCGTAAAATACTGTCAACGCGAGCATCGAAACTTGCTATATTATGCTATAATTAGTATTGTTATTGAAATACAAATTATTTTAATGAGTAAATTAAGTATTTATCTTTTATAAAATAATAGCAACAAAGAGAGTAGCAAGTTTTTAATTTAATAAATGAATAATCAATCGTAGAAGTCCTATGACGAGACATTAATGATCATTATGCAAATATCGTTTTATCCTCTAATAATAAATAGTAAAGAAATTATTTGCAACTTCAAAATCTTCCGGAAACGTATATTTTTTTAGAAATATGTTTTTTTTTTTTTTTTTTTTTTTTTTTTGATTGGCCGGGGAGGGGAAATCTTCAAAAGATTCCCGGAGATGTAGGTTGGGGGGATATGCCGGATTCGTCCACGAAATCTCGTGGGCGCCTGCCGGCTAAAACCCCTCCCCGTCGGTTACCAACCCGAAGGTTATAAACCACCAGAAGTAAGAAATCCGAACAGCGGGGGTTGGAGGTGGGGGGCCGCTGAAGCGGAAGAGTTGTTAGGGGGGGTGAGGAGAGAGCAGGGTCTTCTGACCCTGTCGGATGGTTTGCTGGCTAAGGAGGCCAAGCGGTTGATAGATGGGTTGGAGTGTGAGGAGATAGAAGCGCGAAGGTTATTCGCGTAGGTAGTCGCAGCGTCACGGATGGAGGGGAGGCCGGTTTCTCTCAGAATTTGGTCGTTTCTGATGAACCAGGGGAATTGGAGGGAGCTGCGGAGGATTCTCATGTAAGTGCCGTTGAGTTTGTCAAGATGGGTTGCTGTACCCCAGATAGGGATAGCGTAAGTGCAGATGCTGCGGATGATGGCGTTGAATGCTCGTAGTTTAGTGCGTTGGGAGATGGACTTGTTGGAGAAGAAAGGATTGAGAGAGAGGGAGGCGCCGTTTACTTTGTTGCGGACGGCTTGGATTTGTTTAGACCAGTTTAGTTTCCTGTCGAAAATTATGCCTAGATACTTGGTGGAGTTGCTCCATGGGATTTTGTGATCGCCGACGTAGATGTTGTCAGGTGGGTTGTGGTGACGAGAGAAGTAGACTGCTTCAGATTTGGTCTCGTTAAGGTGGAAGCCCCATTTGAGGTACTAGTTGAGTAAGGTAGGTAAAAATTTGTTGAGGACAGAGGTACAGTGTTTGATGACTTTGCCGGAGTAAAGCACGGCGGTGTCGTCAGCATATTGGGCTAAAAATATGTTTTCTTGGGTGGGGAGGTCGGAGCAGTAGATGCTGAAGAGGCATGGAGAGAGTTTGGAGCCTTGGGGGACACCCGCGGTGATAGGTAGAGGTGAGGATAGGTGTTTGCCTACACGGACCCTGAAAGTTCTGTTGGAGAGAAAAGATTTGAGTAGACCGATTAGATAGTGCGGGCAGTCGAGTTTGATAAGTTTGTACAGAAGTCCGTTGTGCCAGACTCTGTCGAAGGCTTGTTTGGCGTCCAGGAGGAGCATGGAGGTTTGTTTGCCGAGATTGCGGTTGCCTGCAATGAATTCGGAAACTCGGAGGAGTTGGTGGCAGGTGCCATGATGGTGGCGAAAGCCATGTTGGAAGTCAGGGAGGATGTCTTTGTCGGAAACAAATTTGTTGAGACGGGTGAGGATAATACTTTCCGTGACCTTGCTGAGGGTGCAGAGAAGGCTGATGGGTCTGTAATTGGACGCCTGGTTCAGAGATTTGCCAGCTTTTGGGATGCAGATGATAGTTGCTTCTTTCCAGACCTTAGGAAAATATTGTAGTCGCATCATTGAGTTAACAATGTTGCAAATGGCTACGATGTGGATGCGGGGGAGAATTTTCAGTACGCCGTTGGGGATACTATCGTGCCCTGGGGC